CTCTCCGTTCTGTAATTACTCTTCTATAATTAATCTCTTACCAATATCTCACTGCGATCAGCACCTCAGCTTTCTGTCTGTTCTTGTATTCTATTTTTCTACTATTATTCTTCCATTCTATTACTATCCGACTTCTATTCTACTATTCGGCTTCTATACAACTTCTGTTGTCAGACTAACTCGCGAATGCTAAAGCTCCCTTATATATCTATTCACTAATCTGCACATCGCGGTTTCTTCTTGAGAGGATTGGATTGAAATAATGCCACCTGGCCCCAAAGATTCCCGAAGAGAATTAGTGAGAAGGCGCGGTAAAGCCCCGTTTTAATTGTACCAATGTGAAGATGAGATTCATTTTTCGTATTGAAGTCGTGGCACTAAAACAAATCTTCTTAATTGATCACATCATTGTTTATAAACATTTTAGTACCAGGAGAGTTATCTGAGCGTGTACTTCCTTCACACACACACACACACAAGAATGAGAATACCAGAGAGGGAATTGTTCAGATGCTATATTTAAATACTCAAGGATAAATAGAGAAAAACGTAATATATAAAAAATATAATGGAATGTTCAAGTGAAGGGAATAATTAGTTATTTTTAGAAATTACATCATCGTTTTGGGAGAAAGTTTAATCGCTTAGTAAGGCACACGTAGGCCATTAGGACATTCTATTACTTGGAATCGCCAATAAATCTATCAAAAATTCAGGGTCTAATATTTTTAACCAGGAATGACTAAAAAATCCATCAAAATATAGGTTTCAATTCTTTTAGTGCAAGATGAAATAAGACACGTTTCGAAATAGGGTCCTCGGTTTTATGAATTAGGTATTATAAATGAATAAGATTCTAATTTTATAAGTAAATATTAATTTAAGTAATTACCCACACCACACACACATATATATAGTCGAAATTCTCTACTAAGGAGAGATAAACATTCATCAAGCAAAACTATAAAACATTGAGATTGTAAGATAACCAGATATTGAAGGTTATATGAGAAATTAAAATTATAATAGGGTATAGAATATATATAGAAAATGGATGGTACCCCAGTATTATAAACATTCTTGACTTAGAACAACTTATATATAAAATAATTTATATAAAAATGGGGTTGAAAATGTTTTGTGGCCAGCCAACCTTCCCCTTTATGTTAATAATACTGAGCAAAAACCTATTGAAAATAATGGGCAGAATATCTAAATCCATTACAAGATAAAGGTTTACCTAAAAGTTGCATTCAGAATTGTAGAGACCGCGCTAAATCTCAGTACATTAAGTAAGTTATTGCCAGATTCTGGACCCAAATGCAATTTCAAAGCATAGGAACGGCTTAATTGTAGCACTTAACAAAAGTATGAAAAGAATAGAAATAAAAAATTAAAAAGAGAGTTTATACAAACTACCACAAACTATAGTGACATAGGATTACATATGAAGTTTCGACATTTTTTTTAACATTTAAATTCTGTAAAAATCTTACGAAATTTTATGCAATTATCGACGGGTGATTTTAGACATTCATCACAACTTCTGGTAAACTTATGCAAACTATTTTATAAAACATTATCAACTATCTTGGTATAAATACCTATTAAAATAGTAAAGAACTTGTACAAAATTTTTAAACATAAAAATATGTATTCTTTTCATAGTTACATGAACAAAAATTTCAGAAATAAAAATTTTCTCAATTCTTTCGAAGAACTTTTTAAAAAAGATTTCCACTTCATATACTTATTTTTCAGGATGACACGTGTACAAGTAACAATAACCTCGTACAATAAAAATCCCATTGTCGGTAGTTGATGACGCGGCTATTTGAAGTAATTTTAAATGACAGCAGCAATAAATTTTGTGTAATGTTCCTGTAAACGGAAAAAATTATGACTCTTTTATCTTTTGTCTTGTATGATCATTCCACTACAGTTCTAATTCGATCCGTAATTTTTATGCGAAACGTTCTCTCTGTAAGAAGAATAAACATCTTCATAAATTTTTTTAGGAGCAAATTAAATGATCAAAGATATTTTTTCAACCCTACTATTTTCTTAAATATACCTGTATTTACATTTCACACTTATCGAATACCAATTTTCAATTTCTACTATTAGTTCACTCTCTCATTATATATACAGTCAGACCTCTGTATAACGAAGTCGCTAAATCCTGGAAAAAAGTTCGTTATATGGAAAATTCCTTATGTAGAGATTTCATTTTTTATAAACCACATAAAACAAATTTTAAATTTATAAACACTATATATTTAAAAAAGTAACTATTGACACCTTTTTTAAATTAATATATGTTTATTTTATATATCGCACCGTTCAAAAAAAAAGAAAGACAGAAAAACTGCAAGGAAAACAAGAAAAAGAATGTAGAAGAATTCACTGTATTTTCAATATTAAGAAAATAATTTTACACTAGAATTAATGAATTTTAAGGATATTTTATAGCTTAAAGCATACAAGTAATTTTAAACATACATTATTTTATAATTAGAACACGGGGACACGGGACAAATCTACTGGGGGGAAAGAGGATATCGAAGATGTTTCTAGTGAACTCGGCAAAGGGGGTTAAGGGTTGCACTTCTTGGAGAAAACGTCCAGAACGATTTTGCTCTCAGCGAGTTAGGATCTAATAAAACCAGTTCAAGATTTATGACCACCATAAAATGTGTTTAAGAGAGAATAACTTGAAATTTTTTCAGAAATACTTTAAAAAAAGGGAGAACAAAAATTGAATCACAATAGAAAAAGTTCGTTATATAGACATTGCACTTCGCTATAGAGAGGTTATTTTACGAAGAAAAGTTCGCTATATAGAAAAATTCGCAATGTAGATATTCGACTGTTGAATGTTATGTCTTGTTTGTAGAGAATAAGACTATATATATATATATATATATATATATATATATATATATATATATTATGTCTTGTTTGTGTGTGTCTGTATCTAATATATATTATAAATGTGAAAGTTTGTGAAAATCTTTGTGGGTCTTTCACGCAAAAACAACTTACTGGATTTTAATGAAACTTTACAGTTATATAGCTTATACATCAGAATAACACATAGGCTATAATTTATAAAAATTTGTAAAAAGTGTCCAAAATATAACGCTATTTGTCAAGTAAAAAGGAAAAAATTCTGCCATCTGCAAGCAAAAAAGCCCACGTCAGCATATATCTATCTTTTGTTTGTGAAAAACTCTTTTTGTTTTGGCTACGCAAGGGGCTCGCTTCTAATTAATTCCTGTGATCAGAATAATGCCTATTTTTTTTATTTCAGAATAAAACTAAGTTTTGAAGGGAGAGGTTGTTTAAAATCTCTCTTTATTTTAATGTTTTTTTAATGATTTTATTATGCACATTTGGTAGTAAGAAGTTGATCTATTTTCAAAATAACTACTTTTATCGCTTCTGGTACTTAAAGTAAATAAACTTTCTCTTTCACACTACATCATTTGGACAAACTTTCATAATTTTTTTGTGGTTAGTTGTTAATTATAACGCTGTAATTTTAATTGAATAGGCAGATATTGCATTTTTAAGTATAAAACTAATTATAACTACTGCACTGTATTTTTTGCAGTGAGTGAGTGAATATTAAGGTCGCACTGTTCAGCTACACGAGGGCTTTTAGAGACGGACCACGTAATTTTGAACAATGGTCAAGTGACGGGAACGACACTTGAGCTGGCATCCCCTTCTCCTAACTACCACACCTCACCAACTTAGCAGGAATATTCTACCAATACTTAGCTTTAATATTCTTTGAAATCCACTCTTCCAAATTATATGACAGCACGGGTTCTATGATGAGTATTTTAGTGGGGAAGGCGAAAAGTTTTGTAGCAGATATTGCGTTTTCAGCGGATTGCAAAGATTATTATTTTTGTAGCAAAAAAATAGTTAATGTCAAAATGTAAGTGTCTAATGGTTTTGTCTGTTAATGAAGACCTTGGAAAATGATTTGACTACTTATTTTAAGTGAACGGTGTACATAACTAATTTTACAGTGGAATTGTTTAATTAATTTATTAGCTCTAACGGATTAAATTTTCCAAAGTAGAGTATTTTGTTTATGTATATCCCTTAATTTGTACATGTAGTGATCCAAAAAAAAATTGTATGAAAAAAATTGCAGTAAATCATAATGCGGTTGGATAAAGTATTAACGTGCATCGCGCCCCTGCACGGCGGGTCTTACAAAGCTCTAATAAAGCTCGAGCTACGAAATTAGCTAGGCATTTGCCAACTTGACTCTATCGTTAACATTTCGCTATGTTTTTCATTGAATCGCCATTATAATTTAAGAAACGGCGTTGCTTGCGAATATTACAATTTTAAAATAAAATAAATACAACAGAAAGTAATATTAATGTATTACACTTTCAGATATAAATTATTTACACTACTTTAAGCGTTCATTACGCAAAATTTTTAAGAATGTGTTGCTTTTGCTGAGCAGAGATCAGCTTAGGGAGGTATTTTGAAAAATCGACCCTCAAGAGTGTTACGAGGAATTATAAATTTAAAAAATCCTTTTTATCGGCTATTATATCTACATAGTTAAAATTTAACAAAGGTGTTTTTTTTCTTTCTTTTTTTGTTTAGCTGAGATATGCAAAAAAGCTTTTTTTGTTTAATTTTCAATTCACATAAAACTAACTCATTAAAAACTTTTTCCTTCAATCTGTGTTGTTTAATTTTTCATTTCACCCGTGCGAAGAACGGGTATACCAGCTAGTATATATATATATGCTTAAAATTTCCAATCGTTCATAAAATATAATCTTTCTATTGATCCATTCAAGTTCAAATATATTTTTTTAAACTTGCTGTGGACGACACGTGATGTTAATACATTTTGTCAAATACTAATTCATTAATTAAATCAAAAAATGAATAAATAGTAACAAACAACAATAATAGTACAACAGCATATATAGAAAGGAAAATCGTTCGTTGTGACCCCGTAGCACAATGGATAGCGCGTTGGACTTCAAGTCCAGAGGTCGTGGATTCGAATCGCACCTTAATTCCTGAGAATGTAATTTCTTTTTTACTATACCATTCTATTAGAATATTTAAATTTAATGAATGAATAAATAGAGTAACAAAAAAAATAGTCCAACACCATACATAGAAAGGAAAATGGAAAATTTCAAGGAAAATTGCTTTCTATTTTGTCACTTAATAGAGTGATTCAGTCATATGTATATATATATTTATATATTAATTGTAATTATTTAAAAAAATAACTAATATAAATTTTTTCTTTCTTGATTTAAGTGGGAATTGACTTAATTTTTTTTATATTGCTTGTTTGGTATCGAAACACTAATTTCAACTTGGTTATTAGCAGTGGATATCAGAAATTGACTTCTTTTTTCAACGACATAATGCTACTTCTATCAAAATTTTGGTCGTGATGTCATAATTTAGTACGAATTTGCTGAATATTAATTAATGAATATCAAAATATTCAATAGTTATTTAGTCATTATAATTAATTACTCATAGCTCAAAAGTTTTGAAGTTTTTATTTTCTTGAAAAAAAAGTAAACCTAAATTTCAGTGGGCTAAATTCATGATGGTCGGATGATAAATACAATCACGTGTTCCTCATAGAATTCAGAATTAACATTGATCTTGTACTTATTATTCTATTAGTAAAATTTACATAAAATTTCAAATGTGATCATGTGATAATCATAAGGTATTAAGACTCTACTATTAAGATTCTTCAAAAAAGTTTTTCGTAATTAAAGAATAATTCTTGTATTATACGTGTACTTTTAAATCAAGCGTATTTTATTTGCCTATATGCATTATTATTGTTGACAAATATTTACAATTTAAAGAAATGTTTCTGTAAAAATCAAAAGTTAACAACAGCACGGCGTCTGAACTGATAGATTTGAAACACAGGATTCCGTTTGTCACGTAACTATGACGTCTTAGGAATTTATGAACTGATTGGCTGAATGCACATTATTTTAATTATCGTGTGACTTGTGATGACCCCCCTGGGTCACACCTTGAGCACCAAGATTAATTTGAGGCAAAGAACCACCAAGAGCCATTTTGAATAATAATATTATTTACTTTGTTATAATTTCCTCAAAAATCTCTGATAACATATAATACAATAATGCTACGTCGTTTAAAGGGATTTGCCTTTATATATTAAATTAAATTACTAAGAATACAATTAATTAATAATCTAGCTCAAACTCAAGTAAGGTTTACCGAAATAGGAGATCCGAGAAACACGTATTCGAATTCTTAACTGTCATTAACTAACTAAGTAGCTCAAACTGACGCTTACTTTAAGCGTACGTGAATTATATTTACCGCTGGCTTATATCAGCTTTCTGGTACGTCTAGCAGCACGACGTCTTCACGAATCTAATCTCTTTGAATCTTCTAGTAAGGCGTTTAACGTTACTGGCTCAATAGCCTACCATCATCTCTCTTGCTATCTCGCAACCCTCGACTTAAATACCTTATCTAATTTAAATATCCCATACTTCTTTTTGGAGTTGATTGGAAATAAACGCGAATTTATATTCCCCAGAAAGACGCCTAAGAAGATTAGTGGAAAGGTTCCGTACATATTCGTCACAGACTATGACGTCACATGAATATTCGCCAATAACTTAATATTAAATAATATCTATTTTCTATGAAAATAAGATATTTTATTTATCAAATGATATGCAGTGTATTTTCTTCTACAAGCTTACATCATTATACGTATTAAGAGAACTCGGTACGCCAAAAGTGACCGACCTATCGTTATTTTTAGTTTTTTTTAATCTTATTTTTCGCATTATTATCTTTCGATTGATATATCATTTGTGCAAGTCGGAAAGTTAAAAGTTGAATAAAACTTCATTTGAAAACAAATTAGGCAATTCGGCCCCGCTCCCTTTTTAGAACAAAAAGCTAAAAAAAGCGTTATGAAAAAAAATCCATTTTATAAAGAGAAATAATAACTATAAAAAAAGAATGTGTAATATATAAAACAGAATATTTCCGAGGCAATACAATAATGTAATTTTTCTTCTTTGTGAAATGTGTGCATGTGAAATTTTTGAATAAAGGCATTTTATATTAATAATTTCATAATTTCAGTTCTTATTCCTGATATGTTTTTCATACAAATGTAATACTTCAATATTATGTGAAGAAAAAAATTAAACTTGCTGTCGTGACGGAAAAAAAATTTTTTAACATTTTTCTTGAATTTTCTTGTGTGGGTGTGCAATTAATACTTTCTTAAAATTGATCATTTATAAAAATGTATGGGTTGAAAAAATACGAAAATGCAATTATAACTAAACTATATAACTAATACCTTAAAGTGGTATTTTAAGTTATTTTAAGCTAATTATAATTTTTTTTAAAAAAATTATAAACTTTAAAATGGTTTTTCTCAGTTTGTGTTTTTCGAAACATTAGTGCATTTAAAATACTACTCCTTCCACAACTATTTAATAATCACTTCCATTTTTTTTCCTGTATGTTGCATATAAAACATGTAACAAAATTAGGGTCCATTTTGCTGTGAACGGAATACTTTTTTAAAAAAAAAATTAAAATGTAAGAGATATTGGCTTTTTCGTTGATCTTTAGCATGCATATCAACATTTTATTTTTTTTCTCAAAATCAAATTAAGTTATTGTAAAATCGATCCCTAAAGTTGTATATAACATCTATAAGAATATCACAAAAAAATTTCAGCTCAAAGAGTTTATAATTACAGAAGGAGTAGGATTTTAAAATTGTCCAAATTTTCTTCAAACAATTTAAATTTATAAAATTGTGTAAATAATATGTGAAAAATTTCATCTCCTATCAATTTCTTGAGTATAGACATTATATAAAATGCTAAAATATAATTTTTAAATACATAACGAAAGAAAATAGTTCAAACGGTACCAAGTCCCCTAAAGTAGTTCTAAATCTTTTCTTGTACATTATAAAAGTGTGCATAAGAAACCTCCAATCACGATTATCTTTTTTTTTTTTGCCTCTATAAAATCTTGGACTGTTTTTACTCGTTATTTATTAACAACGCGTTATTAGTTTTTTCCCAGAAATTATATTAAAAAATTTAAACGCGACGACTTAACCCTTACGTGTTTCTGTTCCACCTCGCGGAACACCTATTCATTAGCTGCTCAAACCGTTGAATTCCATTAAAAAGGGATAAAAATACATTTACAATGTAGTTTGAACTATCCTTTTTAAAAAATAGATAGCAACAAAATAAAAATCCGTTTTTTTTTTTTTTTTTGCAAAACTTTTTTAAATCCTTGGATTTGCAACGAATTTTGCTCATATTTTTATTTATTTATTTTGATACTTAAGGCTGTTTTCGCCAAATGTACGAGAGCGTGAACTTGACGCGGAACACATTTTCAGACAGAAAAAATGCCGCAATTTTTATAAAAATTTGTGACATTGTAACTCATGCATTTGTTTATAATATTGTGTTTTTAAAATTTCAAAATATTTCATAAATAATTCGTTTTTCAATTCAAACTATTAACTCACACTCTCTCTATATTTATTTATTTATCTTGGTGGAATTTTCAATCGTTAATGAAATACATTTTAAAGCGCTCAATTGAGCTGGAATTTTATATGCATGATTATTTTGGATGACAAAACAATAATTTAATTATAATTAATAAAAATTAATTGATTAAAACTAATTATTTAAAGAATTGCAAATGCAACCCCGTTGGCATCATTTGTGGAGACTTAGCGACTATTTTGACGACTTGTGTCAAAACTTGGAAAGGTTATTTTCTGACGTTTTAAAGCATTCAGTTGAACTGAAATTTTATATACACAATTGTTTTGGATGAGAATACGATATTTTAATGATAATTAATAAAAATGAATTACCACTTAATGTTGTGATTCTGTCATATGAATATACATATTTATATTAATTGTAACTATTTAATAAAAAGTAGCTAAAATAAAATTTTTCTTTATTGATCAAGTAGGAATTGACTTAATTTTTTTATATTACTTGTTCCTTTTAACATGTGAAGGGATAGCTCATTTAGCATTACGTTATAGGAAAAAAAATGCAAAACACATTTAATAAAAGAAAAATGTGTCAACTCGGATAAAAATGAGTAGTATGATAAAATAAGTGATTCTCTACAGGATAATGTAGCCAGAATATAATATTAATGTTCGAGTACTTTTATATCTGAAAAAATATTCCGAATTTAGCTCCTATTCTTTAACATTAGACGAAGATAGCCTTAAAAAATACCTGGACAAAAAAAACTTTATTACTATTTATTTATTTTGCTATATTCAAAAATATTTATTATGTACTATTTTTAATATTTTAGCGCAATCATCGAACACCGCACCACGAATCCATCTCATAGAACACCCACAAAATCAAAATGGTTCATGCAATTCTCACAAAAATTTACCTGCGTACTCTTTTAAACCTAAATGAATCGCCTACCTTTTTATTTATTTATTTATTTATTTTTTTGAAATTCTAACTTGGATATGGTTTAAGTTCGCAATTGAATATTAGTAGAATTAACACGATACTAACTATCATTTTAGATTTATTTCTAAATTATTTCAATAATCAATTTCTTTTCAATTTTATTCGTAAAAAGGCCAAACATTAAAATAAATAAACGTGCTTCATCAGAACCAGTTTCAAGAAAAATTGAACAAAATTACCAACGAATTTTGTTGCTCAAGTAAGGACATTCATGTACGTCACGGCATGAAGTTGTTCTGCAATAAAAACCACCGATTGATATGAACAGGAAAACTAAACACAATGGAATCCAACCTTCAGCGTAAGGAAAATAGAATATATTCGGGCTATTTAGTTCATTAAACACAGGTTTTTCTTTCTCCAAAAGAGTCATTTATTCCGTCACATGCCATCTTTTCGACATTAGAATAAGAAGCTTTAATTGAGCTCCTAAAGATTCCTCTTTGTTGTTGAAATAGACAAGAACTATTAAAAAAAAGTCGGAAA